GACGCATGTTGCGTTCAACAATTCGCAAACACTGCTTGCCACTGCTGATATGTCGGGAAAAATCATCATTACGCAGTTATCTGACCTCTCCACCCGTGCCAAGGTAGTATGCTCGGCATTCCTTTTAGTAATTAGGAACCTTTTATATCAGATCACTAGCACGGCTCACAGGAGCTACAACTGTTCTTTTGATTTTTTGACAAGGTTTTTAGCTCAGTGACTGTAATGATATGGAATGGACTTGTTGGCATAATACAAGTGATATCCTTTTCGCTGGTGATAAGGACGGTATAGTGTGGATGTGGCTGATCGGGCCTTCAGGCGTCGCCCAGTCCAAAGTAAGTTGACACTAGATTTACTTGTGAATATTTCCTAATTTCCGAACTATGCGTTGCTGTTCGGTAATAATCCAACAGCTGCTGATTGATTCCGTAAGTAAGAAAAAAAGCAATAAGAATTCAGGAACACCATAGACGAAATCGCTCCCTGACTGTCACACTGCCTTGCTGCAACCCCCCCCCGGCTTACAAATCGCTTTTTCGCACCTCTCAGTACTAACAACCATCCAATTCGAAGGTAAAGAAGGCGAAAAACAACTTTTTGAAAACTCTGCATCCGAATTTAGGATTACGATAGCAATGCACGTCGAGCTTCTGCACCAACTGATTGCATTCTGCACCAACTGATTGCATCATTGGTAATTTGAAGATGTCTTACCTTGCTCGATGGATTGCTGTTGATCGCAAGTACTCCTAATGAAGAAAATGTAATGAAGGAAAACAGAATTACTTATGAGCCCGAGCGCGGTGTTTAAAAATGAACATGCAGTTCCTTCACCCCCAACAAAGAAGAGCTGAGCGCCCCTGCGTTGGCTGTAAGAGGACGTTGGTTGCGTGGGCGGTCCAACTGAGTGGGTGTAAGAACTAGAGCTTTTGGCTGCTGTACCATCCACTTCACTCGTTGTGGAATCGCGAAAGTGGGACAGTCTCTTTGCTTGGAGGCAGAATTATTTGCACAAGGAATGACCACGACGGCTTAATTGAGCACGGGGGCTGTCTTTAACTAGTAATGTGGTCCTTATGTGGCCCTTACTTGTTGCAAGCATATTATCGTCGTAGGTTTTTTCATAAAGTGAGCTTATCGTTATGTTCAGGTGTACAGCGGGAATGGGTCGTCGTGCACATATGGTCAACTGCTTCCAGATGGAAAACGCTTGCTGGCTGGCTACGCTGATGGTGCAGTAAGTCAGTTACAGCTCTTTTTATAAACCCTTTGGCTGCGCCCACTAACGTGCGTCGTACAGCTTGTGAAAGAAACAAATACCCATACGAAAATCTATAGTGAGGTCTTTCTTCGGTGATGTTTATGTGCCGTTCTCGGTCGTCTCAAAAGCAGAGGTTTCCGATCGATGAAGTAGGACCATATCACTTTTTGATTTCGGTAGTTTCTGTAACGATATCCCACCGCGGTGACACGCGATCATCTGAAGCGAACAAGACTATAATCTAGGGTTGTCTGTTGGTGTGTGCTTGTTTGACCGGCGGGAATTCATAGGCAGATTCCGCAGTTTTCCAATCTACTAGTTAAGCGATGCTTGAAAAAAAAATGATGAAGGGTAAAGACGTGGAACACTATTTGTGTAAGGCACGAAGTGCTAATGGTGGTTAAAAAGGGATGGTCACGAACTTTATAGCGCTCATAATGACAAGAAGCTAAATTCAGTATTACCGCCACGGTATCGCAACTCAAAGCGACAACCAGTTAATTGTAACTCTGCAGTGGACGTACGTATAACACCGAACCTTTTAACGGCGCGATACACTAACGGAATTGTACAGGAATGCTGCATATTAGGTGTTCGAGGGTGGATGGGAATTTCGTAGCACATTTTCCACTTATGGCATTCTGTTACGTCTCAAACGTAGAGGCTCTGAATGTTTTGCATGTGCGCAGCGTAGATTCATAACGACTGCTTTCTAGCTATTCGCAGTTGAAAATAATTACCCTAAAATCCCATAGATAAGAGCGGTTTAATTTTGGCTTGGTTTTTTGTATCGTCGGGCTCTCTTCGTTGCTGGCATCTCTTGAAGATTTTGTCGATCAACAACCCACTTTCTTATCATTGCTTCAGTGACTTCAAAATGACGAGCCGCTGCCAAGGTTCCATGCAAATCACGATAATTGACGGCGTCTAGCTTGAAAGCTGCTGTATACGATTTACGACGTTTCAGCAGGTGATACAGGATAGAAAGAGTATAGAAAACAGTAAGAATAAAGGTAGAGTTGTAGGCTATTATTGCGATAATCATGAGCACACAACGCCAAAAAAAACGTATACAAACGTCAATTTTCATTTTCTAGCACAAACCGCTCTTATCTATGGACCGCTCTTATCTATGGCTTTTCAAGGGTCATGAACACTACGACTGAATTACTTTAACTTAATTGCACACCAGAAGAAGTTCTTTTACAAGGTCGCTTACAGCGCCAACTTATTCCATGAGATTCCACCGCACGCGTAGTGATTGCAAAAGCGAAAAGCCACTATCACAACTAGACGTAAAAAGTAGTGATCCGATCACTGATTTGTCATTTTTAGTGACGGTACCATTTGGCGCCAGTTTGGTGCAACTAGTCCGGACTCAGTTCTGGTGCAACTACCGTTCGGACTCAGTTCGCTACAGACTGGTTGTTAGATTGGAGAGGTAATCCTGGATCTTGAGTATAGACACAACTTGGTTATAAGTGCTGGCAAGGAACTTCAGGGTCAGGATCGTGACTGGCTTTATCAAATATACTCTTTTAGACAAGGTTTTCGATAACAAGTTTCTAAAATAATTTACCGTCATATCTTGGCGACAGCGTATCTGTGCCGCAAGCAGCGTCTTAACTTTGTTTCTCTAGTTTTCACAGTAATGTTTGTTCTACTTTAGAGGATGATTTCACATTTTGTCACTAGGTTTTTGGGAGAAAAAAAATTATTCCTAGGTCGAGAAGTCGTAGTTGTGAACGCGACCAACTGCATGCAAGTCCCACCTATTCCACCTGTCGGGGCGATGAGGCTAATAAGTCGACCGCAGTACCACCTTCAATTTTTTGTTCACTGCAGCAAATTTGGAAAGCCGTCTCTTCCCACATTTGGTTTTAGCGCATCGTGCAGCACCGTCAAAGTGCTTGAAGCAGGGGTGATGGAAAGATAGATCAGGCCTATCCTCACATCTAAAGTCCTCACAACGACATCCGAAACACACATCCGCTTTCTTTCACCCAGAAAAAAAAGGAATCGTTGGTGTAGTTTCAGCGTCCGTGCTGATGTTTTTAACGGCGGTCTACGACAGGCTTAAACAAATGATGAAGAGCGCCGCTTTGGATTACGGTACCGTGGCGGTAATACTGAAGTTAGCTTCTTGTCCCATAATAGGAACGTTTTTCCGAGGAGTGATGGGGTTAGTAATGGTGGATATTTGTAAAGTGAGTAGGGTTCATTCTTCAGTTGATCAACAGTTAGGGAAAAAAAGAGAAGATGCAAGTTATGGGCCAGGGAAAAAAAGGATGTCGAGTTCACGGGCTTGGTATATTGTCGTTTTGGCTTCATAGTGCTCGTTGTATGATGCACGTGAGAACTGAGAACATTCGCGCCGAGTTGCTAGACCAATGTTTTAGAAATCTTAGAGTTCTGACTTTTACGAATGGACACACCAGCCATCGGTGTTGCGGTCCATTAACGGTTTCTGTTTTGCGCGATCTTGTAAACTAACTTTACTTACTTTGTTTACTAACTTGTTTATACCGAAATCAATGATGATGAGTTGCTGTTCCCATCGCCCCACCTCTAGCCTTATCAGTTTCAAAGCCCTGCGGCAGAAGCAAGTGGGTACTATTTCCAGGAATATAGCCCCATTCACGTTGACAGGGCTTGCGCCCACTATGGTCTGACAGCTTAGCTTAACTTGTAAACTAATATTATCCCACTCATTGCTCTGCTCCAAAATAAAATCATGGATTTCTATTTCAGCTACTCCCGAGCGCGCGCTCCACCTCTTCGTGGCTCCCACAGTTCTTTTAAACGTTAGCAAATTTTCATTCTGGTGCTCTGAGGTGAAAATTGCAAGCAGCTGTTGGACTTTATTGTCATGCCATACGTTTTTTTTTGTGGTACATGCTGGCTTTTGTTTAGGACTATGGAATTTGAAGGATGGATCATTCACAATAGTGAATCTTAATAGTCCTGTGACCGCTATCCATCACCATGTCAGTCAACCCATAGGCGCTATAGGATGTGAAAATGGTAAGGAATTTCAGTAATGAGATTATACCGTTACATCCAAAAGTCGCATGGTTGTAAAGAAAAAGATGACGCTTATCCGAGCATACGAGAGGAGGTGTAAGGGGCGTGAATTGGAGCGCAGCCACGGCTGTCCTTTCCACCAGTTGATGTTGTCATCAGCCGAAAGCCATCAGTGGAAAAGCCTGTCACGGGTGCGCTGCAATTCACGCCTTTTCGCACGCTCTTTCGTTTTCAAAGAAAATTCCTGTACGAGCATGAAACTAACATCATCTTTTGCTGTGATATATTCCAGAAGTTTACCGGCGCTGTCATGATCATGATAGGTACTATAGTTTCGAGTTGTAGTTGTATCCGCAGTAGAACCTCTTGCATGGATAACCTCAAATGATTGAACTGCTTGGAAGTATTCGGTTTGCTGTGATGGGTGGCAATAAAACTCGAAAACAGTAATGACATTCAAAGCTATCATGCGGGAATCGACGTGCAATTAAGAACACTTTCTCTAAAAAATAAATCGTCATCGTGAATGCAATCATCATTCTCAACAAGTTTCTGCCAGATTCTGACAAATTCATACTCTCGGATCTGCCCATGGTACTACTGCTGTGGTTTAGCTCCGACACGAGTCCTGAACTTGCTCAAATGGTCATTAGACAAAGTGTGTTCAAGCGGTTAAGCCATTTGCCTGATGTCTCGCATCAGTGCCATGTCTTTTCTGTTCTCTTCAATCAGTCTCCTCAAATCCTCGGGTTTGTGAAGCTTCACACTTCTACTTTTATACAAACTCTAAGAGAAGACTGTCGTAGAAGGTGATCGGTGCACTTGTAACGTTTCCGAGGAGAATACCCGAAGTCTCATGCTGCACGATGACGAGTAAGTTCGAGCGGGAGGTGGCATTTAATGAGCAGAAACGTTTTTGTGATCAGACAACAGTCGATCGAGATAGAATCAGACGCTGTTGAGCACCGTCGCTATGCAGTGATGGTAAAACAAAATTATAAAGCTGAGGAGGCGGAGACTGCTTATTGTTGCAATGTCGTGACGTTACTATCGAGCACTTTCGAGTTTTGGAAGTGGGACAATCATGGTTTGGGAACCGCGCCATCTGGTCCGGGGAAGGGCTTCCGCACTCCGATTATTGACTTATCCTTACCATGCACCTGTGAGTTGATGAAAAACGGCATTGACCTTGCGAAAAAGTGGATGAAAAGTTGAAAAAGTGTGATTGAACAGCGACTGTTTTCAAAACTAGCTGTTGGAATGGCATCGCCTTCACGAGTACCTTTTGTCTTGCGCTAACGTTCATGGTCCGTCAATGCCACATTAGCTCCCTCGCAGACTCTCCTGGGGACCAATTTGAAAACGAAGGAAGGCATGAAAAATGTTGGCTGTTCTCTCATCTTCTCCGTTAAGGTGTACTCAAAGTGAACTGAATTTGTTTAGCAATATTCACCTTTACTATGCTCGAAGAAGACTTCTACTTTAATCTGCTGACTTCTGCTGAAAAACTCTATGTTCAACAGTGATCTTTAGTGAAGTTTTTAGGTACGGTCCATGTCATCAATACTGCACACTCAGATAAACTGACTACAACTATAGAGTTTCCCCCGCTATCGATGCGCCCGAAAGACGGTTGAACGAGAGTGTACCAGTATGAGAACAAACCTGTCGACTTGTACCAGTACCATATGGCGTAAACGTACAATTTTTCAGGAAGGGGCCAGCTTGGAGGCATGCGTGGAATGCGTTCAATTTGCACCGTTTAATTCATGGTTGGCTGTTGGCCGAAATGATGGCACGTTGTGTATTTACGAGACTGCATCTTCTTCGCCACGTAGCTTATACAGGGCTCCTTCGCCACAGGTACTGCTTCATTCCCTCGTAAGAGAAATGTTTGTATTGTGGTGTAGATGAATAGCACCGAAACCTCTAATGGAGTAATGGCTCATAAGGCAGCACTGCGATCAATCCAAGGGTGAAGAAACCCTCGTAGTGTACAATAATGCCGCGAGTCTGAATCAGCAGAGGGTGTTGCCGGGCATTTCTTGACCTCGCAACGCTTGATAAAGGAATCGGAGTCAGCTACGATTTAAGCTGACTGCCACCTTTGTAAGCGGCCACCGAAGCCCGCGCCTGCCCCTGGTCGCCTGCATGCCTTCCTCCAAGGTTTTAAGTGAGTGGTCTGGCTCTGGCTAGGGCTGAGTCTCCCAAACGGAAAAGATCAAGTCATGGGACGCGTCAGAAGGGTGTTTCCCTCCCAGTTTCAGCTGTGTTTCTCTAAACTGGCGCCCAACAGAGTGGCTTGATCATTGAAACGGTCTGGGATCCGCGCTACATGTGCGCGCGTCAAAAATACAGGGTTTGTCTTGCGTCGCCTTGTAAGCGGGTCCAGGGGGACTTTGAAATTCAGCGGACGCCTATTCATGAAGAGGATGTCAAACTACTCCTAAATCAAATTACTGGCCATTTTTGCCTTTGGAGAAAACGATCCTATCAAGGATGTCCTAAAGAGTGAGTTTCAGCGAGGCGGCCACTAGATTCATAGAGCTCGCCCAAGTTTTGATAAACTAGTCCAGTTCAGTATTGTACATGAGGCGTTGTTTGGGGCATTTTCAACTGTTTCTTGTGTTTTTTTTTCTTGCTCAGCGTTTCATTTACCTTAAGAGCTAATGGTTTTAAGCCGTACAACCAGCGCAAGGCGATCGCGGGCGCAGCCCTTGATTGATTGACTGGTTCACCAAAAGAGCTTACCAGAAGCATCAATGAAACTGTTTTGCAGCCCAGTCTTTCCGATGCTTTCCGCCACCCAAATCCCAAATTTCCTAATCTTTCTCGTTCTTAATGTGACTTTTACAATTCAAGGATGCTGTAGGCGAAACTGAGAACCATTTGATCAATTACAAAGTTGTAGGCTATGGTTCGTGCATTGTGGTCAATGGAAGGTAACACGCCATTTCTGTGTGTTGGATCAGTGGACTGTTTTGTTAGAATATTTGATGCTAGAGATGGGTCGCTATACAAAGTAAGTTACAAACACCCAGGCAAGTCGAAATAAATGTTAAAGAGAATTTTAGGAGCTGGGCAACGGTACGGACGAAATTTTGGATATGGTGATTTTGGGGTCGAATCCTTTGCGTTTAATGACAGCTGGAAGCAGCGGCGTCATTCGTATATTCAACCTGTCGGATATCTGTTGATTTTCTAATGTATTCCTTTGTTGAGATATGATTATGATTGTTATACGTTGTACTGTTGTAGTTTTTGTTGAGCTATCTGCCAATGAACAGATTTTAAAGCTGAAGTGCTTTCAACTTGGAGGTTTCCCCTTGCGTATTTCAGTATTTCTCAATTGATGCATCGGAATCTTGTACATTCATCATAGGAATGTCACATCCACGATGACTATTTGCAGATGACTTACTACCAGATGTACAGAAATACAACCCTAGGAGAGGCGTTGCAGAAAACACTAGATGATCTCGTGCACGAACGTATGTCGCTGCAGAACTCACAGGGACGTGGTTTTGATAAGTCATGTATTTTTTTCAGAGATGATTCCACCACAGCTTGCTGTCAAAGTTCTAGCTATTTATGACAAAGCGATCAACAAAGCACTCGCTCAGAAGGCCAAAAACAAGATGTACTTCAAGGCAAGTCCTGTTTATTGCTTTCAACGGATTGTATGACTATGTGACCAGCGTGAGACTGGTCTCTTTCTCTAAATCGCCTAGTATTAGATTGGCGAGCAAATTCATCGCCAACTTGGGGAGATTGTGCGGTATCTTTCTCTAAGTCACCTAGTATTAGATTGGCGAGAAAATTCATCGCCAAAATGGGGAGATTGTGCATTTTTCAAACAAATTTTATCAAAATCTCCACCTCAACAGTTGAGTGAGTAATGGCCATTCTCTCACTACCTTGTGAGCTTCTTATCCGTTGTCGTTTGTTTTCAAAGGTGCTGGCTGTGACACAATGAAATTGTTGAATCCCAGGTTTGCAAAATATGGGTGAACAAACGTATCCTCGTGATTTTTATGATGGGTGTGGGGCTGTGTCCAGAGCTATATAGAGCCGTTTTGGAGGGCTGTAGGCTCACCTTTAGTCGTCCTAGATGTTTTCTTAAACTGCTCCGACCATCCGCTGGAATTGATTGAGGTGTGCAGGAGCGACAACAGTCTTGCTTACGTTTAGTAACTCATTGTGGATCGCTGCTGTCATACGCCACTGAAACTAGAGATCGTTGCTTTGATGAGGTATCGACTTTGGTAGAAGGGTGCGCTGTGAGCAAGCCAAACAGCATCTGCTCACAAGGGGTGCCCTCCGTATAGGTACGAAGGAAAAGGCAGAAAATCCGAATAAATTTTTTTTGCAGTGTTGTCCCCCATACCTCAATCACCTGTTTGCTCGCGAAACTAACTTTTCAATACCCTCTAGAAATATTTTTCCTCCTTGTCCCCAAAACGTGCGTTAATTTCCGTCTTCAGCTCTTCGTCGTCAGAAAACGCTTTCCACGAGGATTCATTTTTCAGGTGTTTTGGGTTGGGGAACAAGAAGTAATCACTAATCATTTTTCCAATGTTCTTTTCATTTTCTCTTTTTTCAATCAGTAATCATTTTCTGAACATTGTCAGATTCAGCACGTGCGCCCCTCAGGTAACACTGTGTCTTGAAAGTAGCTCCCGCTCTCAACCAATTCGCACGCGTAGTTCCTCGTTCAAGTAGTTTGCCCGCAGTTTCTGAGGCTGTCCCATTATTCACGATTCACAGTATGTACCTGAGGCGCTGCGGTCTTCATAAGAGCAGCACTGGCGCCACCTATTTCCATCGTTCACCAAAAAGCCATCTGTACATTTACCGCCGGACTCAGTTGTTGCTTGGTGGAGCGGGGAGGGGGCATAAGTGACTGTGCCCCTGCTCACGGGTAATTTTACTCTTCTTAATCGAATTTAGTCGTCAGGAGCGCATACAGTATAAAATGATTCATCTTGCAAAACAGTATGCTTCAATTCACCAGCAATGAACTTCCATTGGTGCAACAGTTCATAGGATAATAACATATAACATTCATAGAACAACTAGAACATCAACGCTGTTCCAATTATTCTTTCACCAAGTATAACGAACAGCGTTGGCGGTAATAAATGAGATTTTGTTGATGGTAATAAATGAAATTTTGTCTTTATACCCCTGGGGAGTGTCGTTACCTAATAAATGATCTAAATTCCTTCGTCGCTGCTAAATTACTCCGATGCCGGGAATTGAACGACCCTCGTATTTCACAGTAACTAGTTTTCGCCATCGCTCACTGGATCCGCAGGAAAAACTCTTTTCGCTTTCAATAAAAAGCAAAATCCTAGTGATGTGTGCAGATACATCTCCTTGAGCAGTAAAAATAAAAAATGCAGAAACCTAGTGCCAGGCATCATACAGCTCAGAGTATTTGGTAGATCACACAGCTCGCTGCTTTCATCGAATCGGCTCATCGAATCCGATTTGTTTGGGCCAAATTTCTACAGTTCAATAAGTTTGTTAATTTTCTGCCAACCTAGTACTAATTTGGCTAAGCTGAACTTGGCACCTTTGGAACGTCAGTTTTCGTTTTACCTGCAAACCGATTCCTTTGTCCATTGGATGCTGTATTATTATTACTATTATTATTATTATTATTATTATATTATCAGGTAGCGTCTAGAAAAAAGGGGTTTAATGGTGGTTGATAATAAATAACAATGGTGGTTGATAATAATGGTGCCTTTGTTTTGTTTTTAACTTGACTTGAATATAGTACGCTTGCGTACTTTTCCCTAACCTCTTTTTAGACGCATTTGACTCAGCCTCCAAGGAAAGGGCTGAATTGAGGCCGTCCATCAGGTTGCGTTCATACCTTGCGATGGAAGAATTGCGTTCATACCTTGCGATGGAAGAATAAGAGATTAGGTGAACTGATGTTTTGGGAGGGCTAACGCCAAAGTATATAATGAATTCTCTCAAGAAGACGATCGGCGATTCTCAGTCTGTTCCAAAACGCCTGAGAGTTGCTTATACTTTCTTCTCCATACGTCGGCTTGCCGATGTTACTCCTTGTAGTGAAGATTGAACGCAGCCTTATATGGTGGTTGACAAGAACGTATAGTAAGGATCTAAACTCATTGCAAACGTTGATTACATTCTGGGAGGAATGCATTTTATGCAGTGGTATGGTTTAACGTACACATTATTTTAGGCCGAGAAACTGCGTGCTTATCGACACTGCGATAATGTGTGGACGTTTCTCATGGAGCGTGTAGACTTCCGCGATAGCATTCGTGTGGCTAGAGTGAAATTTGTTGCCTGTGATGGCTCAGCTAAGTTAGCATCCACATAGAAATAGCTAAAACTTTGAGCGAGCTGCTTTCTGGTTGTAGCCCACTTTGATTATCTCCGAGGGTTCCTTTTAGAAGCTGTGCCCCATTTTCTCTAGAATTTCGATGCGAATATCGAATATTGGGCGGGGTGATATCTTTTGTAATTATTTCTGTATTTAGTATTGCTACAAACGAAGTGCCCTTAGCATTCTAGTTCACTTCGAAAGTTATCTTCTCTATTTATTATAGGTAATTAATGGTTGTTACGAACAATATGTGATTTTTTCACTGTTTGTGATTTTTTGTGATTACAATGTTGTGATATGTTTTTTACGCATACCTGGTGGGTGCCTTATATGTATAATATCAACTTATAACTGAGTGCCTCTTTGGCTGCCTTGTGTCTACAACGCACTACAAATATGCAACTGTGATTTTTGAGAGGTTTTATAAAAGCTGCTGAAAAAATAAATGTATTATCGTGAATTTGTTCAAATCGTAAAGGAGTCTGAATCTTCGTTTATCTGCCTTCACTGAATACGTGAACAGCATGATGAGTTTGTGCCTACAGGTACTCGCACAGAGAACAATGGCGTATATGATGTACCGAGAAACGACTCTGGGTTCAGCCCTTAGTCGTACATTGGATGAATTCGTCGAGGAAGGTCTAATAACCCGCCCACTTGCCATGAAAGTACTCACCACCTTCGATAAGAATATAAATAAAGCCCTTGCGTATCGAGTGAAAAATAAGGTAAGAGTGTTCCCCTAGCATATTCAAACTAGTATGCGTATGCTGGTGTTTAGTTTTGGTCTCTTTCAACTGGAAGTACATAGAATGATGATATCGCAGCTACCTCATTCCTTTCGTATATTCGGAATATGCAGCCTTGTTTGCTGCGAATGAAGAGGCCGGTCAGGCGGCCTCCGTTGTTGAAGCGAACAAGCGACAAGGCTGTATCATATCGTTCGTATGAGTCGTTTCCTAGCGATTGTTGTCGTTTACCTGCTTTAGCAACTGGTGGAGAATGGGCTGGTGAGTGGCAAACCCATCCCGCCTGACTCGCCCCTTCATCCGCAGCGAACAAGTATGTAGATCCGAATGCTACTGCTAAGCTGTGCATGGTCGCGGTCTCAGCGTATAGCACCGTTGGTAGGCACTTTGGGTGGGGTCTGGGAGGATACCATAGATCATATTTACCTTAATTTTTCGGGCCGCCAGATCGTTTCAGCTCGTTGATTTCTCATCTCACGAGGTATTCCATTTTTCAACGCAGTCTTTTTTTGGGGTGGGGACCAGTGAGAAAAATTTTGGAAATTCTTGGGAGTTGGCAAAATTTGAGAAGGTGGTTTGTTGTGGGAAGGGCTCGTACTAGAAGGGAAAATCTGGAGGTGGAAGATTCTACTAGCACTGCCATGTCACTCATCCCACTGTATCTTACTAGTATTTCATCGGAACGAGTCGTGTTCATTGGAGGATCTAGACATGTGTTCATAGATTAGCAACCATAGAAGAAGACAAGCGGGTGATCTATATGAATCACGGAAGTAGCAGCCCTGAGTGAAGAAGTTGATAAAGGTGACAGTGAGGGGACTCAATTATTACGCACCCCAGTACAACAAATTTGTACTGAACATTGACTGTTTATGAAATATACCCCGACTGTAACTGCAATGGGTCTATTGCAATTAAAATTGCCACCATGTAAAACGCATTTGGGCAAATATAATCCCACAGCACAATACTTTTGAGCGCAGCAAACCGCTACCAATCTAACTTCACGGATAGAAAGGTGTGGGACGTTTTGAAGATCATCTGCTTTGAATATTACATCTAAACAGAATAATAGATTTTGCCAAGACAATGCTGTCTCGTATTTTACGATCATTCCGGTCTTAAAAGGCGTTCTTGCTTTCCCGCTCATTCAAAATCATAAAAGGTTCACTTCTTACATATCCTATACTATAACTATATCGCTAAGTAAGACTGTGCTGTGTGTGTCTGTCTGTCTGGCTGTCGTCCAACGAAAGTTCCATAGCGACGCCTTATCAGTTGCTGTAATGGAAGTTGATTTCAAGCAGTGTATACGGGGCTTTGACGGGAAACATCAATTGGTTGGGCAGGAGTGATACAGCTGTTAAAGGCACAGTTCGCGAACCGCGAATCGCGGGAAACGGGACTCAAATAGGCACAAAAAAGTGCTAAGTATCTGATTAGCGGAGAAAAGCAGCAGAAAAAGCAGTCCGAAATGTTATAGAGAAAGATAACATAGTGGCTACTAGCTAGTAGCTAGCAGCCGGTGAGGGTCGGCATGGGCCTAAGGGGTGTCCATGGGCCTAATTAGTCAGCTTCTAGCGGAGTTCTTGCCGTTTTTCACATTTTGAAAGCCTCAAAAATCGCCTTCCGGATCGTCCGACACATTTGAGAGGTCATAGCCTTATTTTATAATGTCGAATGTGGCCTTAAGATTTGATAAGAAGGCGTCAGAAGGGGAGGTTCACCGAGTCCATAGCGTGGGACACAGCAGCAGTGGGACGTTGGTTCAAAGGTTACCCCATATAAATATATAATTCGCTTCGTCTTGCTTTTGTTTGTAAGTTTGTCTGTCCGGAAATTCGGTTCGACCTGAAGAACGACTTGGAGAGGTCGGGTCAAGGTGGGGATGGGTAGGGCATGGGACAAGAAATAAAAAGCACACTTGACCTATGGGAAGCCCCGCCCACAGTGGGCGGGGCACTCGCCGAAAGTTTGGGGTTCCGCAGAAAAATAACATCATACATTCGCTTGCTCGGAGCAGCCTTGAAGAATGGGGGGAAAAAAGGGATACAGGTTAGTGACGGAGTCGGTCAGACTAACGTGTGGCAGAGACACATCAAAAAATGGGGTGGCGGCGTACTCCAAGGTGGGGGTGCTTCTCGCAAAATTCAGTAACCCGGTTCGCGCGAGAGTGTTGGAAGTCGCAAAAAACTCAGTGTAGAATGTAAATATCTGGCGAATATAGGGCACGCTCAAAGTGTGTTGAGACCCGCCCACAGTGGGCGGAGCTTGCCCTAAATCGCAGGGTATTCATTTTAAAAGTTTGTAGCTCGGTTCCAGAACACTCCAGACACCGGAAAAAACAGGTCAGCAGAGGGTCGCCGGTGAGGATTTTGGGGCAAACATTGTGGGCGGAGCCTGCTTCGAGGTGGGCGGAGCCAGACAAAAGGTCTGTAAAACGGTTCCAGAGCACTCCGAAGACCGGAATAAAGTGAATTCAGGTCAGCAAGGGGTCGCCGATTGAGAGAATGTGGGGTATACATATTGTGGGCGGGGCCAGCCCGAGGTGGGCGGAGCCAGACGAAAATTCTCCTAAAACTGTCGCAGGAGCACTTTCAAAAGAACTGGAAAAAAAGTGATAAGGTCAGTCAGGCAGAGGGTCGCCCGGTGATGATTTGTGAGGCAAAACAGATTGTGGCGGATGGCCTGCTTCAGTGGGCGAGTCCAGACGAAAGATCTCTAAAACGGTCCCAGAGCACTCCGAAGACCGGAAAAAAAAGTGGATTAAGGTCAGCAGAGGGTCGTCGGTGGAAGATTGTGGGGCAAAAATTGGGGGCGGGGTCTGCTCTGAGGTGGGCGGGTCGACAGCCTGTAAACGCAGCTGAAAGCGTACTTCAGTACACCCGGAAAAAAGTGTAGTACAGAACAAAAGGCGGATTATCAGCCCACTCTTTGAAAAATATGTAAAAGGAAAATAAACGCACGGCAAGCCGCGTCCGCGACGGCACCGGGCCGTATCAGGAGCGCGCCGGCTTCAGCCGGCGAGCCGACTGTATGATATAGAGGCTGTGACGGGAACATTATCGATGGGTGACAGGGAGTGATATCAGCTGATAAGATCTGATAAGAGGCGTCAGAAGGGGAGGGTCACCGAGTCCATAGCGCAGGTCACAGCAACACTGGGACGTTTGTTCCAAGGTATGATATAGGCTATGGCACAGGAATATCATTGGTGGGTGACAAGAACTGCTAGCAGCTTTGATAAGGGGAGTTAGAATGGGAAGGTCACCATATCCATAACGCGGGACACAGCATCAGCTAGGCGTTGATTTCAGCAAATGATATAAAGCGGGAGGTGGGGACGGCGACGCGGGTGACGGGAAGTGATAACAGCTGATAGGGGCTGATAAGGAACGTTGCAGTTGTTGTTCAGTCAAGTGCTGGAGCCTTTACACTACCAAATTATAGTTTTCGTGATAGCGACCATTTATACTTTTGGACCAGTCAAGTGTAAGGACTAGATAGCAAGTTGATTTGTACGAATTGGTTTTAATCAAGGAACACAGTAGGTCCAAATCCAAGGCAGGTGGCCTCTTTGGACGAAGTTTTTCTCCCAGAGAAACTAACTTAGAGAAGTACCGCTTGTAGTTCCAACCACCTGTGGCTTGATGGAGGTTCGTATGTGTCGAAAATGATGAATTTCAATTACCGTTTTGGATATGAGAACAGCGACTGCGAGGGACGGCAAAGAAGCTGTGGGATGCTTAACACACTTCCCATAGACCACATAACTGGATCTCGAAATGGCTACGGAAAGATCTGATACGAGATTCTAAAAATGGCACGAACTTTTGGGACAATCTAATAAATGGAAGATACCTATTATATCACTCACTTGAACAAGCCGAAGATGCTTATGATATTCGGTGTGCTTTGGTTTGAGCGTGTTTTATTTCACAGCTTCATTTTCTTTCACCTCATTTGTTGTGACGTGATTAAAAAAAACGGATGTGATGGCGTTGACGCCTACCCTTTCATGACCCGATTCACCATATCGAATTCACTCACTCAATGATCCTCAGCTGAAGCCACACCACCAACCATGTGCAACTGTTTAAGGTTCAATTTAAAGCTGACAAGTTGGTCACGTATCGATACTGTGACAACGTATGGACGTTTGTGATCAACGGTGTCGAGTTTCGAGATGTCCATCGGTCAATTGATCGTACTGTGGATCGGTAAGTAATGTTTATCATTCCTTCACTCTACTATTTGATAATAGTTACATTTTAGTGTGAAAATAGTCGCGTGTGATGGGCGTGCACCCGGCCTGGCTGGTACAACTAGTGGAACCGTGTAAAGCGCTTGGTTTAGTGTTATCAATATCTATTCATCCAGCTTTGATCACCGGTGACTAGCACCGCTGAAGAAGTCTTTTTGGTGATCTATGAAGGCTTTCAACTACTACATACTCTAAGGATATCTCATTACCCTCATCTCGCAACTGACAGGTCGCACGATCACGTGTTCTCCAAATTACGGTTATAACTGAAGTATTCAATAAATATTCAACAGTTTATGAGTTCTTTATTGTAAACATTTTCATTTGACATGATGGACATATTCTTTTCCGCCGCAATCGTACTGGAGCGTCTGGTGACATTCTTAAAATAGAACAGGGTGATCTGCTGCATTGTGAACGTACTAGATTGGCAATAAAGATCGTCGACAAAAACAAAAACTTTTTCAAACTCTTGCTACCATTTCTCGATCACCCAAACCTATATTGACCAAAGTCACCGATGAACTTCCCCTACCCCTTGGTAGATTACTGCTCTCTGTTCCAAATAACTGATGCTTTAGCAACCGAAGCAGCTAGTGGTGGAAGCTACAAGGTCTAGAGGATACTGTGCATGAGCATCCGGAGGTCTCTAGGACTTTGAGTAGTGTCCAGAAGTGTCCCGAGCGATATTTGGACCCGCTTTGGAGTATAGTCACAATCCCTCATAATTGGT